GACATCTCAACTTCCAAAAGTGCTCCGAGCACCAGGTGTTTTGTACATTTTGACTTGGAAATGTGCTTCGCGCCACAACGGCGTACAATTTTTCATCTCTCCTCTGGCCAGCTGGCTCCGCACCCGCCGCTTTAGCGAGCCTACTTTTCGACCCTCCGGAGCCCCAAATCATTGGAAAAACACAGTGAATCGCGACTTTCCTACCTTTTCGCGCATCTCCATCTTCTTTTTTCTTACTCTTTCTCTTCTACTCTTCTCTCTTCTGATCTTTCTCTTCTCTCTGCCTCTGCCCTACTCTGCTTTTCATCTGTCCATATTGTCGGAAGTTTGACTTCTAAACTTCCTTCGATAATCATATTTACAGTATATATATATACATATATATATATATATATGTATGCATACATGGAGGATATTTTCCTCCAGTGACCCTTTCGTCGGCTTTTCGGGCTTCCAAGGCCATGCGGTCCTGTTGCTTCGGAGCCTCCGAGGCGTCCGGGCACCGCTGCGGCGCATTTCGCTGTCCTGGACGCGTGGCACGCGTGGACGATGGTTGGAGAAGGATGGTTGCGCCGTTCCTCCCAAAAAAGGAAGGTGTACCCTCTGGTAAACTATAATTACCATCTGGTTGGTGATTATCATCTGGTTGGTGGTTTGGAACATTTTTTATTTTCCATTTCATTTATGGCAGTAATAATTCCAACTGACTAATATTTTTCAGAGGGGTTGAAACCACCAACCAGTTCGTTATATCTACCATAAACCATAGTTATTGGAGTTATTAACCAACTTAGCCTCTGGTCATTTGTTACATAGCTATTGAAAATACCCCATAGAAATAATTGATTTACCTATTCAAAATGGTGATTTTCTATAGCTATGTTAGTTTACCAGAGTGTAAAGTGAAATTTACCACTGGAAGGTGAAAGTTTAAAAGGGTAATTGTTTCTTTTCTGGAAGTTAAGATTTGAAGTTTTGAGACCTAAACATGTTAAAAGTTGAGGGAAAGAATGAAGATACCCTTGTTGACTTGTTGATTGTTGACATAGATAACGGGCTGATGCCTGATGGATTGGCAGCGACCCTGACGTCTGACCTTGGTCAGCCATCCGGGGGAATCGACGAAGCACTATGCACGATTGTATGTATTATATACAGCTGCACGCATATAGGAGATATGAGATGTCTATGACATGCACATAGGACACACACACATATGTATATATAATTATATATAATTACATATGTATATATTATTACATATATATATATACTGTTATATATATTTTATGGGTATAACGATATATATATATAGAGTTTATATATTATATCATATATCGTATCGTATTATATTTTATTGTGTCATATTGCATCATATTACGTTATATTATGTTATATTACATTATATCCTATCATATTCTCTGAGATTCTATTATATATTATATCACATCATATTATATGATATAGTATTAATATGTATCAACATCAACATTGTATGTAAACATATATTATATCGTATTGTATCATATTATATTATATAATTTATATCATAAACATGTATGCAAATTAGATGACGGTATCAACTGCCCTCCCGAGGACAGCCTTCTCGGGCACCACGATGAGTTTAGCGCGTTGGTGTCCCATGGAGCATTTGGCCCTTGCAGAGAGCGAGGTCTACATACGACTCAGGTTGGTCAACGTTAGTCAACGTTGTAAAGCCCTGCTGGCTGACGATTAGTTGCGGGATTTCGTGGGATTTAACCATCATTGATAGGGGTTAACTATCAACATATAGATCATATAGTATAGTGAATACATAAATGATGTTATTGGTTGGTGGTTGAATCATGATTAGTTTGTGGATTACATATACTAACCAATAGAATTATGTGGGATTATCACAATCCATGAATGCGGAATCACGTTCTCAAGCAGCCAACCAGTATAAAACATAAAAGGACTGCTGATATGGGTTTGTCTAAAAATAGAGTATATCACCAGAATTGCTTTGGTGGTAACATGATGACAAACCATCAAGGGGGAACGTAATGTTCAGACAAAGCCATTTGAGACCAACTATTCAGTTGTTAGGGATGAGCGATTCGGAGCTACAGGTATTCATATTCCCTACTTTTCAAGGAGCTACTGAATTTCCTAACCATATGATAGTGACAATCTGCTAGTTATTGTTGGTTGTATATCTCATTCAATCCCCATGAAGATATCCTACGAAATCCCTGTTTAACATGACCAACTTGGATGTTGGGGAGGTCTTGGGTATCCTGGATCCAGGTTGTCCTGGCACTTCTGATTTCAATTGAAGTGCCTTTTGCTGGTCTCACGGTCCTCAAGTTCAGGGTTTAGGGACCTCCAACGAAGTGATGATGAAACATCAAAATAATTCAACATATCTTCTGTGGTTGTGTGAGGACTGTGTCTATATGTACATACACATGCTTATAACATATTTGAATACATATTTTTTTGCAAGATGCACACAGTAGCGGACAATCGCTGCGGCACTTCGCAAGATATATATATATGTTATGTGGCATATATATAATAATAATAAATAATAATAAATAATAATAATATGTATATATAATAATAATAAGAATAATAATAATAAATATATATATATATAATTATAATATATATATAATAATATATAATATATTTATAATAATATAATATATATTTATAATAATATAATATATATATAATTATATAATATATATATAATTATAATATATATATATATATTATAACATTCATCTATAATTATTTATCTACAAGAAATAAGTATATAATGTAAACTAACACAAAGATCTTTTTAGACAACCAGAAGATCCAGCAAGATCATTGTGGAAAATTGCATCCGCTCCGCCAGGCATTTCTGGAAATGCAGTGAGTTGAGAACGTTGGATCTGTCGGGTTCAAGGACCCGTGGAGATGCCTCTGAGCTCCGAAACCTCCCCCAGCTGGAGGACGGCCAATGGCCAATGGGTGCCATGAGGATGGCGATTTGGTGAGGTCCTGTCCCGAAAAAGGATGTGAACAGTTTGCTGTAGTTTAGCATAGGTTAGTATAGTTTACTGTAGTTTACTTTTGCAAAGCTCTCCCTGCAGCCAGTCTTGGCTGGTTTTTGGGGGGCACGATCCCATTTATGGCAACCTGCGACCGGAAATGATGGCTAAGAAATGGAATTGTCAAATGACCTTGAGGTTTGGCATTTACAGCAAATTATGCATGTCATACATATATAGATGTATTATAAGATATTATAAGTCACTTACTTCCCTTTATTTTTATTTTTTGAGGCTGGAACTGGATTTTTGAGACTGGAGCTGGATTTTTTTTGCAGGACTTCAACAATTGGATCTTCAACTGAAGATCCAACATACCTGGGCCACATTGACTCATGATATTTGATTTGTTTGGCCTGATCGATCGGTGGAGTTTTCGAATGTTGCTCTACTTTCATTCCATCCTGGATGGTTGGCGTTTGAGTACAGCATATTTGTGGACTCAAACACCAACCGGACTTGTAGATATTGCATCCATTGCATCTCTATGATTCTTGGGGTACCCAAGTTTGACATCGAATCCATGAATCACATGTTAGCTAGCTGTGCCGACCCGACACTTTTAACTCCGTTGAAGGCTGTTGTTTGGTTGACCGCTATCACACATTATCAAATAATATCAAACTTGTCAACATTGACCCGACCAATCTCAGGTTTGTGACTGTTCTGGGAATGAAACTGATGGCACCCCAAAACATGATGGCACCGGTGGAGAAAAAACACGCCACCCAGCACTCGTTATCGGTTTTTCCTGGCCGCCCCGTTCGGTAGGAGGTTGATCTCAGCTCTACCAAAATCTCGGGAAGTTTGGAAGTCTTTCGCGCTCCGACCAAACTCGGTTGGTCAAAAACGGGCTTTGGAGGATCCAACCTTTGGATACCTTTGGCAGAAAGATTATTTGAGAAAAGGAAAACCCTGGGGAAATAAGTGAGTTAAGGAAGAAACATGATGACATAGGGACATTGGAGATGTACCTCCTGCATGTTTTTTGATGTTTTTTGTTTGCTTGTTAAGCATGGGGATACCAACCAAATAGTCAAATAGTCGCAGTAGCTGATGGATAGCAATGGTTGACTTCCCCAGGTGTAAATGGCGTCCCTGAAATCCCCAAACGGCCACTTTTTCTTGGGATACGTGATGATTCGTTAATGAGAAATTGGAGTATATGATATGATTATTTAATGGTTCTAGCATTCTCCTCTCCCGGTGGCATTCCATTAAATCCTACCCTCTGGTAATTTCTTACACAATCTTACACACCTATGGCACATCAACATTCTCAAAAACGGTCCATCATCGAACTATTTTTTTTGTAACTATATAACCCTATGGTAATCAAACATATATAGACTATATATGTTTGATTACCATATAGGGTACGTATTTCATCAGGATCACAACGAAAACAGTCGTGATCCCGGCGGTGCCCTAAAAACAGTGCCCCAAAAATGTAAGGTTGAACCTATCAGTATGAATATATATATATATATATACAATCATATATCTGGTTGGTGGTTTGGAACATTTTTTCCCCACCTGCCAGGTGAGGGTTGTTAGATTTTATCAGAGTTGTTCTCCTCCTCCTCGGCTAGCTATCCTCCTGCTCCTCCTGCTCCTCCTCCGCCAGCATCTACTCCACCACCTCTGCCTCCACTTCCACGTCCACTGTTGCCAATGTCCGAGCTCAGTGTGCACCGCTGGACCTCAACCTCAAACCTTCCCAGCTCAGTGGGCACCGCTGGACCTCAACCTGGGACCTTCCCAGCTCAGTGGGCACCGCTGGACCTCAACCTGGGACCTGCCCAGCTCAGTGTGCACCGCTGGACCTCAACCTGGGACCTTCCCAGCTCAGTGTGCACTGCTGGAACTCAACCTGGGACCTGCCCAGCTCAGTGTGCACCGCTGGACCTCAACGGCCAGATAGAATGCCAGAAGATATGCCAGATAGAATGTCAGATAGAATGCCAGAAGATATGCCAGATAAAATGCCATGAGATATGCCAGATAAAATGCCATGAGATATGTCAGATAAAGTGCCAGAATGTTTGCCAGATAGAATGCCAGAAGATTTGCCAGATAATATGCCAGAAGATATGCCAGATAGAATGCCAGATGGAATGCCAGAAGATATGCCAGAACATATGCCAGAAGATATGCCAGGTAGAATGCCAGAAGATATGCCAGATAGAATGCCAGATGGAATGCCAGAAGATATGCCAAAACATCTGCCAGAAGATATACCAGGTAGAATGCCAGAAGCTATGCCAGATAGAATGCCAGAAGATATGTCAGATAGAATGCCAGAAGATTTGCCAGTAACAAAATGTATAAATGCCATGATGGGCATCACACGAAGTAAAGTAATTATTTTCCATAATAGTTGGGATGATGATCCAATCTGACTAATATTTTTTCAGAGGGGTTGAAACCACCAACCAGATATATATGTTGTGATATGGTGTGTCGGAGCAATACTGCTTGGAATGATTAAATCGAATTTAAGGAGTTTTAGTGACTAGTTGACTCGTCTTTCACTTCCATAGTTGCCACTGAAAAACCTGCGATGATTGGGGCCCCAATTGACTATTAATCATATTCTTGGGTGTTCGGGATGGCTTAAAATTCAACAAATTACGGAGAAAAGGATCATTGGTCTCCCAGAATTGATTTAGGACACACCTATATGTAAAAGTTTTATGGTTTCTGCTTGATTTTCTCAACAAACCAAGCCAGTGAAACCTCAGTATGGTTGGTTTCCCCATTAATGATACTCCCATTCTATCCCTATGAAATCTCCATTAACCACCAGTTTCCCTTCAGTATCCCCCAGGTTTTCTCCCCAAGTTGCAAAAGCTACAGTTATCTGACACCGTCGTGTACGGAGACTTGGCTGGATCATCGGGTCCGGGGGCAGGTACCCCCCGATTGATCACCAGGGGTACTGTCTCAAACCTTGAAACATCATGAAACATTCCCAGAAAATCATTGGTTGCGCCTAGGTTGAAAACGCGATTCTTATTTTGGACCAGTTCAAAGTCCAAAAGTATCAGCCACCTCCATGCCTGGTTCTTTACTGCGAGCCTATGAAAGTCCACCATTCGACACCAAGACACCAAGGGTCTCGAGCATTTTTGGGATCCCCGGAGACTCAGGGCGGACCAAAGGAACTGCTGAAACAGCAGGAGCCCCCCCTCACGAATTCTCACGGGAAAAAACAAACGATAGTGGCCGTTTTCGATTTTGTCCCCCAAAGAAATCCCTGTGAAGTGTGTGAGGAATTGATATATTTGATATGAGTTGATTGGGATGATATAAAATTGACCCTCAACTTTCCGCCACTTGGAATCCTCTGCCCTCCAGGCGACATGTCTGTCTTTTCCAACACCCCGGACTTAGTCCGACTGCAGCTGCGGAATACCAAAGTCATGGGGCGCTTCAAAGCACGGGCACCACTGAAGAGCCTGGAGCTCCGACACTTGGAGGAGCTCACCGGATCCATATCCACAGGTGCTAATCTAGGAGCAGGTTCCTCATTCATAGACTATACCTGGTTGGTGGTTTGGAACATGTTTTATTTTTCCATATATTGGGAATAGTAACCCCAACTGACTAATATTTTTCAGAGGGGTTGAAACCACCAACCAGATACATATATACACACTTAATTATAACTTATAATCACTTACATAGGAATAGAGATATGTATGGGAATTTATGGAATGATCAGGGGATATCTATGAATATGGGGAAAAAACCTGTTGATGTATCATGACTTGTTTTTAATGTTTGTTCCCCACCTGCCAGGTGAGGCTCTCTAGATTTTAACAAGACATCCCCGTGCCAGTAGCAATTTAAACTTGTTTAAACACTTTCTGAATTGGTTACTTTTAAAATGAGGATTCAACATGGTTTAAGCGTCAAATTTTGTTTTTTTACAGTAGATGCTAAAAAACTGCCAAACATTTGCATTCAGTAGCACTCATGAGCATGTGGCATTTACCTTGAGGAAATTAGAGTGTTTCACTTCGTGAGCTACAGGCCGCATTTTGGCTTTCAGAAAAGCTGCGCATGGCAAGCGGAGCTTTGAGAGCTCAAGGGTTGTCCAGCCATACGACGGTGGACTTTAACGAGGCCCTTGAGATCTTTGCAACAACGATCCAGGAGACCGAGAAGAACCCTTGCTTTGCATCCATCACTACACCTTCGACCTGAACGAGGTGAACATGAGCACTTCAGATCCGAATCTGGCTGCAGGATCTCCCCAAGGATCCCCGTATGGATCACCACATGGACAAAGCCAAGGTGTACCTATGCCTGATGCTCCTGCTGGACTTCCCCAACAACAGCTTCAAGGAGTTCAAGCTGAAATGGCAGAGCTCATGCGAATGGCGGCAACAGCTGCGACGGCTGCAGCTGAGGCGGCAAAGGCTGCCACTGGTGCTTCACAGGGAAGTGCACCTGATAGAAAGAAGGAGCTCTACAAGCTCATTCCAAAACAACCTGCGGTGCTTGCTCCAGGAGACCGAGAACAAGAAGTGGCGCAATGGAGAGATTGGTACTGCATGGAGTCTGAAACAGTACCTGACTGTCATCGACAACAAGTTCGAGGATGACATCGCCTATGTGGAAAGAAGCAATGCGACTGAGGTCGACATAGACTTGCTGGAGGATGAGGAAAGACATAGAGGTCGATTCCTTTACAGCCTGCTGAGCTCACTCTTGCAAGGACGTCTTCTCAGTCTTGTGAGAAATGTGGATAGATCTAATGGACTTGAAGCTCTGAGGCAATTGTTGGAGAATTGCCAACCTCGCGCAAGAAACCGCACGATGTCGATGTTGCAGAGCATCATGTCCCACCCCAACTTCGTGATGAAGAACTCCATCATGTCGCAGTTGGTGAGACTTGAGGAGCACTTCGTCCAGTTTGAGAAAATGGGTGGAAAGCTGACTGATGAGATGAAGTCAGCTGTGGTGCTCAAATGTGTGAGCGGACCCCTGAAAATCCACTTGAATCTCAGTCTCAACGAGTCCAGCACCTATCCACAAATTCGAGAGGTCATCAAGGCCTATGACACAGCCACTACAAAGTGGACAGATAGCGTGAGCAGCTCTCCGTACTCACCTCAAACTGCTGCAGATCCCACTGGTTTGGTGCCTATGGAGATTGACAGAGTTAAGGGAGGCAAAGCTGCTGGGAAAGGAAAAGGTAAAAGCAAAGAGGGAAAAGGGAAGGCGAAAGGCAAAGAGCAGAAGGGCAAGGGCAAAACCTATGGTAAGCAAAACCAATGGAGCTCTACGTCAACAATTTCGTGGAGCACAACTTCGAAAAGTGGAAAAGGTGGAGATCAGAACGACAAGGGCAAAGGCAAGAGCAAGTCAAAAGATGGTGTGACCTGCTTTAATTGCGGTAGAGTTGGGCACATGGCCAAAGACTGTTGGCGAGTGCGACAAATTGGAAACCCTGAGGCTTCAAGCACTGTCTTGTCTTCAGTGACTGGGCAGGAGAGTGTTGGCCCATCAGTTTCACAGGCAGCCACAGCAGTCAAGCGAGTGGCATTTTCAGCTGGAGAACATGATCCAGTGGTTTTCGACATGAGATCAAGTTCGACTTCAAGCTGGTGTCATTGCAGGATGGTGAATTCTTCTACATTGAATTGACAATGAGGAGTACAAGCCTATGTCAATCAAGAGCACTACATTTGGTGGTGAGACCAACGAGCGTTATGAGCTCGACACCAATGAGGTTGACATCATCATTGACTCTGGGGCTGATGCACCGATTTTTCCATCGAGCATGATCCACTGCGGAAGGCAATGTGATGGTCAGCAAGTGGCATTGCAAGATGCTCAAGGCAGGGCAATTCCACTACTTGGACAGCGATCGGTGGCAGTAGTCTTGGAGGACAAGAATGGAGTGGAGATAGAAGTGAGAGACAATGTGATCTTTTCGGATGAGATCAGCCAGCCCATTTTGAGCTTTGGAAGGCTGATGAATGCAGGATGGAGCATTTGTGCTCAAACCAGAAGTCTTCGCAATGGAGCCTACGAGATTCCCTTGGACTTCCAGAACAACAGCTTGATCGTTCGAGGACATGTTCGAACGATTGGAGAGCAGCCTCAAGCGATTCGAGCTTTGAAGGCAAGCCTACGTGGACAATGCCTTTGGATGGCATCGAGATGGAACACGCTGGGTCGGAGTTCACCTGAGCGACAAGTACCAGGATCCCCACTTCATCTCTGGCATTGACTACACGTTGGAGTGGCTGAGAACGACTCTGGTCAAAAAGGATGGCATCTGGGTGATGGTGGAATACTGAGAAAGAGTTTAAGAAATGGTTGAGCCCAACAGGTTCATCGAGGAGACACCTGGGAAAACAACAGTGGTCACATTCTTGACCGATGGTTTTGAAGATGTCGAAGCTATGGGCTTTGGTGTCAAAGGAGGTGAAGAACGAGCTATACTGGAAGCTCTTGAAGGAGAAATCCAGCCAATGCTCGACATCCCCGAGGATGTGCAGTTGGAACAACAGGAGCTGGAGCTACCTCCTGAAGTTCCAGCAGGTAATGGAGAAGTTCAAGGAGCTGGAGATGCAGAACAACTTCAACTACAAGTTCCACAAGAAGGAGAAATCGTGGTTGGAGAAGTGCTGCCACATCAGATCGAGGTTGACGGCAACGTGTTGACTGTGGCTAGCAGTTTGGCAACTTTGAGGGCAGCATGTGACTTCTATGGTGTGAGCCGATCAGGGAGCAAAGCGAAGTGCTACAGGAGGTTGTGTCAGCATCAGAAGACACTGTCTGCACAGGCAGCAATTGCCCAGACTCAAGGAGTTGTTGAGAGGCATCCCAATGCTCAAACTTTGGTGAAGCCTCCAGACCCGAAACAACAGGAGTTGCACGAGCTGACCCATACTCCTTACGAGCCCTGGTACACAGCATGTTTGAAACATCGAGCACGACCTGATCCACATCGACGAACTGGAGAAGCTCACAACACAAGCATCCCCATCATCTCTATGGACTTCTGTATGACGAAGAAGAAGGATGGCTTGGACCCACAACCAGAGGGAGCACCTGACGACAAAGGAGCTCTTTGGCTGGTGTTGACATGTAGCCAGACTGGCTATCTTGGAGTGGTTCCAATCCAAGGCAAAGGTCAGATCAACTACATGACCCACGAAGTGCTGAGCTTTGTGCAGAGCCTTGGGTATGCTGAAGTTGGTTTCTACGGCGACAATGAGCCGACCATCAGACAAATCTTGAAAACGATCATCACTTCGAGGCATGCGCTTGGATTGAAGACCCGAATCTTCACTACCAAGGTGAAAGATTCAGCTGGGAACTCATTGGCTGAGAACAGCATCCAGCGCATCAGGCAGCTTGCTTGTACTTTGGTGGAGGATGTGGCTCAGAAAACAGGCCTGAGTTACCCTTGTGAACACCCACTATGGTCTTGGGCTGGTAGACATGCAGCTTGGTGCCTCAATCGTTACCAAGTTGGCAGATCCCTCACAGCCTACGAGGTGACTCAAGGCAAAAGATATGATGGAAAAGTTGCACGATTTGGTGAACCGGTCTATGGGTATTGCAAGAGCCGTGGCAAGGCCGATGCAAAGTGGAAAGTTGGTTTGTTCCTGGGCAAAACCGAGAACCAGGATGCATGGATCATTGGAGATGGAGTTGATGTCATGCTGAGTCGCAGCATTCGAAGGGTAGATCGCCCTTGGGCCAACTTCCTTGCCTACTATTATAGTGGCTTGCAAACCCACAGCTTCGTGTACCAGACCAACTTTGGTGGCAGAATCGTTCCGACGAAGCGCAAGATCATCCCGCAGAAACAAGATGGTCGATTGCTTCCCAAACTGAGCGAGGTAGAGAGACGCTTTGCTGACGAAGAGGCCGATGCAGTTTTGGCCTATGCTCGTTCCAGACAGGGACGATTGGAAGCTCAACAAGAAGTTCAACAAGCACTTGCAGAACTTCCTGAGCAAGCACCCCCAGGATCGGGAGTCATTGTGGAGGAGATTGCAGTAGCTCCACAACATGGACAGGAACTACCAGCAACATCTACATCTTCAGAGACATCCCAGCCAGCGAATACAGATCTTTTGGCAAGACCTTCTTCACCACGAGCGTCTTCAGCAAGACCAACAGAAGTTGGAGTTGCAGCATCAACTGAGGAGGAGCCTTCAGCAAAAAGGATGAAGCCAAGTGAAAGCTCGTTGAGAAGAATCGAGATGGTCGAGAGGCGATTGGTGGAGGTGAAGGTTGCCAATGAGACTTACTACCACTTGGACAATGTCATCGATGTTGACTTTGTGAACGCTTGGGAGTCTGAAGATGTGGAGATGATTGAAGAGAAGGCCAAGGATGTAAATGACATCGAGTCTTTGTGGTCTGACGATCCATTGACGAGATCACCGCCTGAGCCACTACCTGAGGTAGATCGCCTGGCTGATGAGATCGAAGTCAACAGATTGCAGGAGATGGGTGTCATCGAGAAGCTTGCCCTGAAGGACTACGAGTTGGAACTTCTTACAACTCGAATGGTCTATGACTGGCGCATCAAGGATTGGAAAGATCCCAAAACAGGTTCAAAACGGAGAAGGTGGATGCGCAGGGCAAGACTGGTTGCACGTGAATATGCAAACCACCGACAAGATGATGTGCACTCTCCAGCATCTGACGTCAAGTGTCGAGGCTGTTACCAGCCATCTACCTGATGCTCACTGCGGTGGACGGCATTGACCAGGAGGAGATCCAGATTGGTTCTTTGGACATCAAGGACGCTTTCTTGATGGCTGATCAAGAAGAACCTCTACAGGTCACTACAAAGGTTGGAAAATTCAAGGTGAAGAAGAACCTCCCTGGTCAAAGAAAGGCAGCGAGGTCGTGGTATGAGTTCATTGCCAACTACTTGGAAAAGAAGGGCGTGACTCTCTGCCCTGAGAACCCATGTCTTGGACGACGAGGAGGTGGACTTTTTCTACTTCTACATGTGGATGACATGATGTTTTGTGGAATGAAGTCGGAAGTGGAGAAGCTTATCCAGGAGTTGAAATCCGAGCTCAACACCTCCTACAAGACGATTGCACAACATGAAGGAGATCAGTTCGAGTTCCTGAAGAGAAAGTACGTGCTGAGGGAGGATGGGATTGACATCCTACCAGGAGGATATATGCTGAGACCATGATCGAGGCCTTTGAGAAACGCTATGGTCCGGTGAAACTTCAACAAGTTCCTTGCGGAGATGACGCACAGGAAATCTCAACGTCTGGACCATTGTTAATGGAAGAGGCCAAGTTGTATCGATCACTGGTTGGATCTGGCATTTACCTGTCCCAAGAGCGCATTGAGATTGGGTTCATCATCAAGCAGCTGGCAAGTGGTATGAGCAATCCATCGAGAGGTCATTTGCAGGTGATGAGAAAGCTAATCGGGTACCTCAAGAACACTCGTGGTCACTACAACCGTCTGAAAGCTCCCAGTCATGGACAAGGAGTTCATCACCACTATGATTCGGAATGGATCTTGGTGACCTTCACCGACTCAGATTGGTCGGGAGATCGAAAAACAAGGAGAAGCACGAGCAGTGCAGTTCATTGCTTGAATGGCATCGTGGTCTACCACAGCAGCCGAGGACAGCGTGTGGTGAGCCTTTCAAGTGCCGAAGCTGAGCTTCATGGACTTGTTGGAGGAGCAGCTGATGGCATTGCGCTGAGGATCTACTTGCAGTTTCTGTTGGATGAGGAGGAGATTCAACATGTGTGCCTCATCGACAATTCAGCGACCAAGCAGATCTCCAACAAACGTGGCACAGGGAAGCTGAGACACGTTTCAGGAAAACTACTTTGGATCCAGGACCAAGTCAGCATGAAGGTCTTGGAGGTGAAGCAGATCAGCACTTTGCTGAACATCGGAGACATTGGCACGAAACCATTAGGCAAAGGACGTCTCTATGCTCTCATGTGCTGGTGCAATGTCTTTACAAAAGAAGGAGTTCCAGTTGGAGAAGAAGAAGCTGCAAAAGCCAAAGAGACCCACTACAATAAGACGAGCGTGATGAGGATTGCAAAACTGATTCAACGAGTGGTTTTGATTGGTGGCCTTGAGCAGGCTAGCGGTGAGTTGGTCCCATTTCGCATGGATCTCGAGACTGTGGAGGTCTACAAGGAGCGAAGTTGGACATTCATCTACATCACTGTCAGTCTTTGTGGTAATTGCAGTTTTTTACTACTTGCACAAGATCATTCGAGATCTACGTGGACAGCTTGCACACCTTCGAGCAGAGCTTCGAGAACAACAAGGTCTTCAGGAAAATGAGATACAGATGCATCACATGCACATCACTGCGATGAATGTGGCAATCATTCGCATGGGTGGCTATGTGAACATCAATGATCCCATCGCAGAGCAGGATTGGGACAACTGGAACTATGTGGAGCGCAACAACAAGACTGATGACTTCAGAAAGTGTCGTCGTGATCTTGAGGAGTTGCGCAAGTATGTGCACAGGAGGAGGTGACAAAACACTCCACGACATGGCTCAAGGTCTGGAGATGATGACGAGACTGAGGAGCCACCACAACGACCTGAAGAACTTGGAGAGGAAGAATGGCCTGAGAACGTCAGGGAAGAGAGACGTGACACTCTTCCAGAAGCCTTTGAAGGTGAACCAGAGCAAGCTGGAGGAGAAACAGAAGAGATCGATGGAGAACATGCAGAAGGAGAAGAGTCTGAGAGCGAGTTGGAAAGATCGCAGTCTTTCCATAGTGGCACAAACGACACAATCGCGAGCCAATTCATGACGGAGGAGTGCTTAGAGTGGCCCGCTATAGATTGCAATGGACAAGCTCTCATGATCGAGCACAGCTGAGTGCCTACATGAAGATCTATGAATATGGAAAACGCCAGGCAAAAGCCATTGGCGACGGCTACAATAGGTTGGCCGAATGGTGTGCACAACAGTGCGACATCCATAGAGTGTATGCACGAGTTGGATCCTTAAACTTGGACGTCCAACATGTCTTTTGAATTTAGGTTACATTCTGATCAATGCTCACAATGTAAAGGAGGAGTGCCAAACATTTGCATTCAGTAGCACTCATGAGCATGTGGCATTTACCTTGAGGAAATTAGAGTGTTTCACTTCGTGAGCTAGAGGCCGCATTTTGGCTTTCAGAAAAGCTGCGCAAAAACAAATTTTAACGACCAAAATTGGGGGTTTCTCGCCGAGATCTAGTGACTGGCTGTTCCAGGACGGTTATAGTGCTTATGGGAAGCCCACTCTCCACCAGCCAGGGATGAAAAGGAATTTCTTACTGGTGCTAAACGTAGGGAACGGATGGGTTGCTTGGGGTTGCTGGGATTATGAAATTGATAGTTATTGTGGATCATTCCCTCATTCCCTACTAAGCACAAGTAAGTTTTGAACACGCTTCAATTTTGTTTTTGCATTTCGAGTTTCTATGTTCCCATTCTCCCTCCAGCTCAAGGGCAATCATGCCATTTTCGGGTACATTACCCTCATTTTTTGAACAAACCCGTCCCCCAAAAAATAAAGCATGGTGGGATATGTTTTATTACGGAACTGCAGTTCCCGTTGCATCCTCATTGACATCCCCAAAACTCCAGAGTATGCAGTCATCTCAACAATCTCATCCCCCCAATATTGAACACACCCCATAATTTTTGGTTCCAAAACTGTGTGAATCATTGTGAAATCCCCTTCCAAACCATGATTCCTGGGGATGTTGTAAGGGTATAACCGGTAGAACCCCGGTCCAAAAAAATCGGTGATCTCCTCATCCGGTTCCAGGAGGTGGATGTGAGCAATACCGAGGTCAACGGAGACTTGTCAAGGGGGTTTCCATACAAAGTGGGGCCCCCGTTCGATGGCTACCCTCTGGTAAACAGCCACATAGCTATGGAAAATCACTATTTTTAATGGGTAAATCCACTATAAACGGTAATTTTCAATAGCTATGCTAGTTTACCAGAGGCTACGTTGGTTAATAACTCCAATAACTATGGTTTATGGTAGATATGGCTATAGTTAATGTGGTTTATAAACCAACTTATAACTGGGGCACCGCATTGTACAATGGGGGTACCCCTTTATCGCTGGATGGTTTATACTGGAAGACCCTACTAAAATAGATGATTTAGTGGAACCCCCATATGAGGACAAGACATGGTAAGACCTGTGATTGATGTTCCCTAAAACACATCCACTGGGTTTGTTGCTTTGAACATATCCACGTGTGAATCATCATATTCCCCACTCTTCGATGGCCATGAAAATAGGCTGAATCCACCATTGTTCCCCCATCTTCAACCAAACCCATATGATTATTAAATTGTTGATCGTTTATAAATTCCATTGATATCCGTTCTATAGCCCCAAACATATCCCAGTATATATCCATTGTAGCTGGTTGTATCGCCCATTTTGAAACATACTATACATCACACATGCATATATTAGAATCCGCATATTTAATGCATCGCATATATACATATACAAGCTTGTAGGGAATAACACGCACTTCGTTTTTGACTACATATAGACCTTCTTGTAGACTATATACATGTATATAATTATATATATATATATTCCCTGCAGCCACTATCTTCTAATTCTATAAAAACAGGGAGTCTAATCAGGAGGGATCATGGAGGCTTGAAACATGAAACATAATAATAAATAGTAATAAGCAATAAACAATAGCATATATTCAAATTTTGGGGGGCATCGAGGCCGATTTTTCTTTCATTCTCTTCAGTTTTTCTCCGCAATTCCATTGTTTTACTGCAGTTTGGCCTACACTAATCCATTTCTCAATATGATCCCTCATGAGCCATAGAAAAACCTCATTGATCACACTTTTCTTCCGCCACTCCAAGGCGACATGTCCGACTTCCCCTTCATGCCAAAGCTCAAACGCCTCGCCCTCAACTCGAGCTTCGTCGCCGGAGACCTCCAGGCGCGGCGGTGACGGTGACCTCTGAGGAGATCCAGTCAGGTTCTGACGCCATGGGGGTACCCCTTTATCGCTGGATGGTTTATAGTGGAAGACCCTATAAAACAGCCACATAACTATGGAAAATTACCATTTTTAATGGGTAAATCCACTATTTCGACTGGGCCATTTTCAATAGCTATGTTAGTTTACCAGAGGGTAGATGATTTAGGGGTACCCCTATGACTATGGAAACCTCCATATCTCCAAATCTGGACCAGTCCTAACCTTCACCAATGGCTAGATTCCTGCAGATTCCAATGCTCCAAGATGCTCCAAGTATCTGGTACTGCGGTAAACAACTCTGGTACTCATCATATGAGTTGGTGCGCAACTTCTGATCAAGATGGGCCAGGCCTTCAAAAAATATCCGTTTTTGTCACGCGAAACGGGGAACTCAACAACCCCAGAATCATCACTTTGAAAACTTTGAAGCTGCCGCCATGGACGGTCAGGTACTGGGAGACAAAGTGAAAGAACTTGAGATCTTGGAGGCGTGACGCTGTGACCAACAGCATCCACCATGATTATATATCCAAGGTGCAGAAGACAATGCAGTGGATGTAACCCATGAATAGATATGTAGGTGGACCCAACAACAATATTAAACTATTAAATATGAAGATATCCAGTATTCTCCACAACCGATGTCTAAGCAATTGGCGATTCGGAGTGAATTGACCAGCATCAGGGTGTCAGGGGTTGGCTCACGCGTGTGGGTGAAAATGATACTTCCAACAATCCTGAGTTATCACATCGGTTATAACATTGAATCAATATGAATCAACAAACACATTGGTTTGCGCACCCTCGGGTAAACTAACATACCCTCTGGTAAACTAACATAACTAATTATGGAAAATCACAATTTTCAATGGGTAAATCCACTATAAATGGGACATGTTCAATAGCTATGTAACAAATTACCAGAGGGTAACTATGAAAAATCACCACTTTTGATAAGTAAATCAATTGGATTCATGGGCCATCTATACCATAGCAATCCCTGCAAGGTGGGCGCGAAGTTGGTAATTCCAATACCTAGGCCCCCTAGGCTTTATGGCTATGACATAACTATATAAAATCATATAAATCACATTGAATCACTATATGTAACTATATAAGAAACTAAATTAACTATATAAAACTATAGTGAAACTACATTGACTACCTATATAAATCACTATATATATTGAATTTAGAAATTATAATATATATATATATACACCTATACTTAATGGGATTTATAAACCAACAAGCATCCCCAGGGTGCCTCCACATCCACCTTGTGTTAGCCCTTCCTGGCCCTGGGCTCTGCACTCGCTGTGAGGTGGCCTTGACCAAAGTGCTGGGGGACATCTCGGCCCTAAAGGCCTTGCCGGCGCTTCGCGAAGTAGATGTGCCTTGATGAAGCTTAGAGATTTAACGACTTGTAGTGGATTTTATGTTTCACATCTCAACGAGTTCGGGTTTCGAGATGGTTTGATCATGTTCAATCAACATCTTGGAATATAATTGATCAATCATGTTTGGTTGATGGATGATTGTTCATTTGATTCGTTGGGGGGTTATACAACCTGGTATATATAGGAGATGATCATCATGTATGAACTGGGAATCTTTGTAACATTTTGTAGCCAATCAGCATCATGGAATGACATAGGTTCGTGGACATGCACACACTACATGGGGCATGGAAAGCCAGTCGAAATAGGTCCAAAATAATTAGCTTGAGTGCCGGACATCAGAGTGATCCAAATCTGGTCCATGAGACAAATCAAGGTGGTCAAAGATGGAAAAAGTAAAAAATAACAACAAGACACATTCCAGGATTTACTTTTCTAATCTTTTCTATCTTTCTGGGGATGACAATATATAATTGCAATTAATTAATTATCCATATTATACATATATACTTATCAACATGTTTTGACCGCAAAGGACAAATTCCGTGATGCTTGAGACTGAGGTCACTTCGACCATGGTCGCTGGAGACATCAGTTCCTTGAGCCCTAAGCTGACGAAGGCGCAGCTGTTGGTGCTTTGATCAGTTACTGTTGGCCTGAAGAACAAGAACAAGGAATTTGGGAATGGAAGATATCCACGTATATGTCCAATTTCAATCAGATAGGTTATATATGTACGTAAACAATAGTTGATCATTGAATCATGATGATTTAGTTGGAAATCTACCCTCTGGTTATTTAACGTAGCTATGGAGAATCTGGAGAATCACCATTTTTAATAGGTAAATCATCAAAAAACATCTATAAATGGGCAATTTTCCATGGCTATGTTAAATCACCAGAGGGTAACATTTTTCACTTGTCTTCGTAGTTTCCATTGCCACCTTCGTTTCTCAGCCCGCCGCCGCTGTCCGGTCGTTTTCCAAGGCCATCTTCAGCTGGAGTAACGTCAGCGGGGACATTCAAATCTTCAGCCAATTCCAGGCGGGCCACCTTGGGGAGGCGGGTGGGTAAATGTGTGGGTAAAACCATTTAACCATTTTTTTAAAACAGGGGGGTTAACTATATATTTTCATATAACTATAGCTAATAACATTAGAAACATAACTATAGTTCATGGTACCAGGCTTTTCAGTTACTAAGTAGGTGATATCCCTGTTTTTTCATGGGATAAGTAGGATTAATCCACATATAACAAGGGGGCACTATCCCACTTACTAAATGTGATAAGGCACCAAGCAGGCTTTCCCCATGTCCTCCAGGTATTGGTTAGATGATAATTTAGCTAATAAGGTTAGTATATATCCCTAATAATGTGTGTAAAACAATGCCATAAACCACCCATGACTGGGAATGGTTTTTACAGTACCACCTATAAAAATGGTGATGACTGGGGGAGGGTGCAAATGGCATTGTTTTACCCACATTACTGTTTAGCCTCTAGGAAACTAACATAGCTATGGATAAACATCATGAATTTTGTAAATCATACGAATCATAGGAGCATTTTCCACAGCTACGATAGATTACCGGAGGGTAGACCAATTTAGCCTTTTACAATTTGATGTGGATGTGCTAACCTAAACAACACAAAGTGTTTTTTGGCAGGGTATCAAAGATTGTGAATGGTGTTTGCGGATTCTCGGATCTTCAAATTCACTTGGAACAAAATAGTTGGGATCGTTAAACCACAGTATTATGTGTTGAGACCTCCAAAATAAGGGTTATTCGGGTTCAAGTCTATCGTATCCAAGTGGTTTGAAAGCTGGTCTTAAACATTTTCATACACGCCCCAACAACATAAATTTATTTCGGTAGCATCTGAGTTTTTGTTGGCCTGCCACAAACCACACATATATATAATTGTATACTATATACATATATGTGTGTATGCACACACACATATATATATATATGTACGTCAAGGATGTTGAGTTCGGAGGCCTTCCATTCCTAGGATGATTTGCCTCAGTGTTCACAGGATCTCACAACTCTAGCGCTGGACCACACCTTCGTCCACGGGGACATCAAGGCGCGCCGATACGTCGGGAGGGGGAGGGGATGGAAGGGCCAGAAACTCCATGTGCATTTCGACTGCAGGGGCTCGCACAAACTCTGCGTCCCGATCTTGGGCCCCCGCATTTTTCCTGTAAATTCTCGCATAAAATGGCTCTTGTTGCATGTCCATGTGCATTTCGACTGCGCAGGCTCGCACGAAGTGTGCGCTCCGGGGTTCTCAAGCTCCTGGTCATTTTCATTGTCAATTCTTGCATAAACGAGATCTTGCGGAGATACTGCAAAATTCCCTTCTAAGAGGTCTTGCATGATCCTGTACAGGTCCTTAACAGAAGATCTTGTGGAGTTCCTGGTGAAATCCTCTGTAAGAGGTCCTTGCATGAGGATCTTGCAGATGCCATGTCTTAGAGGTGCTTGTACGAAATCTCTTGTGGGAGGCTGTCGAGATGTCCTTGCATTAAGATCTGGAAGATGCTCTGCATAGGTGCTTGTATCAAAGTTCTTCTGGGATGCTCATAGGAAGTTCTTGCATGAAGATCTTATGAGATCCTTTTTATAGATCTATATAGAAGGTCCTGCTGCTGCAGTTGCGATAATGTCTAACCTCATCTGTTGCTGTTCCATAGCTAGTGTTGCTTGCATCTGGGGCATTGACTTCCTACCCCCCACACTGTTTAGGGTCTCTTGCCAGTGTAATTGGTTGGTGCTCTCAAAGAGCCTTTGCATTCAAGTTTAGGAGGATGATGATGGATGGGTGGGTGGTCGGGTGGGGTGGATGGGTGGGGTGGATGGGTGGATGGATGATGATGGATGATGATGGATGATGATGGATGATGATGGATGCTGATGGATGATGATGATGATGATGATGGATGATGATGGATGATGATGGATGATGATGGATGGTGATGGATGATGATGGATGATGGTGGATGACGGATGATGATGGGTGATGATGGATGGATGATGATGATGGATGGATGATGATGATGGATGGATGGATGGATGGATGATGATGATGATGGATGATGATGGGTGATGATGAATGATGATGAGGATGATGATGGATGATGATGGATGATGATGAGGATGAGGATGAGGATGATCATGGGGATGATGATGAGGATGATTGATGATGATGATGATGATGGATGATGATGGATGATGATGGATGATGATGGATGGTGATGGATGATGATGATGGAGGAGGATGATGGATGACGATGGATGGTGATGGATGATGATGGATGATGGTGGATGATGGTGGATGATGGTGGATGATGATGGATGATGATGATGATGATGATGATGACGACGACGATGATGGTGATGATGATGATGATGGTGATGATGATGATGATGATGGATGATGACGGATGATGATGGGTGATGATGGATGGATGATGATGATGATGATGATGATGATCATGAGGAGGAGGAGGAGGAGGAGGAGGAGGATGATGAGGGTGACGATGGGATTTTTGCGCAACATATTCTGATTAGCCATACTTGCGCTTATTTGGGTTCTGAATGTTTAAAGGAGTAGAATAAACACCAGGCATTTCCTGGCTGGAACAGGGTTTGATGGCTGTTTCTGATGATCAATATGACAACATCCTCTGATTTCGCCTGGCAGCTATAGATATTGGGGGATTTTTTGATTCTTGATTTTTTTTCTGCTTCGTTTTATTCCGTTAAACCCTATATGACACTGTGATTATGTACTGTTATATTTATGCCTTCTTATTGTTTTTCAGGCTATCCAAGCACATAGATGAGGGTTCGAAAGGGCATGCCAACGGCCCATATCTTCCGGCATATCTCACAGTTGGACAGAAAGTCAGCGATACACTCATCTTACCGTTTGACGTGCATTTTTTTGTGTCATCAAATTTGAAGATCAGTGTGTTTTTTCCAGCTTGAATCTTTCATGCGTTGGCGCTTGGCGCATAAGTATGTCTGAAATAGGCTATTTCAAAATCTTATGGTCGACAATTCCTTGTTTCCTATTAACATGGCAGTTTTGGGGCATCCTCCATTTTTTGAAAAACACATGTCACATACCGACATAGCTCATATTTTAATATATTTTAAGTGTGTTATATTATATATAACATGAATCATATATCCCATTCCATCCAAATGGGCACTATACATCCAATGTTGTCCCATGATTCCGCCTTTGGCGTAGTTTCCCCAGGTCCCCAGAATTTCCAGAATCTAAAATCCATCAGACTTAGGTAAATTGGTTTCTTGCAAAAACTCCAATAACTGTTTTTTGGGGGATATAGTTATAGTTTTCATGTGGGTTATCAACCATCAAACATCGGGAGACACCACTTGTAAAATACCATATGGTGGTTTCCTAAAATATGGGTACTCCCTAGATCATCCCTTAAAACAAAATGTTCTATTATAACCAACTATTTTGGGGATCCCCCATTTCTGGAAATCCCCATATATTTGCAGAAGATGTTTGGCTTCATCCATGGTTAAGTGAGGCATTTCAGCAGCTGGGCACGCTGACAACTCTGAACTTGGCATCCACCTTGGTCTTTGGGAAGATCAAAGTCTTCGAAAATGCCTTGGTGCCTTGGTGCGCTCATGGGAATTTCTTGAATCCGGAAATGTTGGGTTCAACATGGCTGGGTTTCACTATATATTATGAATAATTCATAGCCTGGTTGGTGGTTTGGAACCTTTCTTATTTTTCCATATATTGGGAATAATCATCCCAACTGACTAATATTTTTCAGAGGGGTTGAAACCACCAACCAGTAATAGTATGATATCATCATTTTTAATCATTAAAGAATAGTATAGTATCGTATCGTATCGTATCATACAGTGTACGATAGTATAGCATAGCATAGTATAGTACAGTATAGTATAGTTTAGTATAGTAAAGTATAGTGTAGTATAGTATAGCATAGTATAGTGTAGTGTAGTAACATATAGTATAGTTCAGAATGGTATAGTATAGGATAGGATAGTATAGTGTTATTAGAGTATAATCATAGTCGCTGCTGATTAAGTATTCGATACTAAGTATAAATAATGACGATACATCAATTGAGTATCAATAGTGACTATGTTTCATAATGATTACCAATAACAATGATATGTCTACTATGGTTGTGACTTAGCAATGGTTGTCAATAATGATGATAATGATATGTCTATAATGCTTATGACTTAATGGATACCAATAGTAACGATTCTCAATAACAATAATTCCTAATTATTAATAAGTAACTTTTTTTTAAATACCCGATGTCTGATATTCCAGATTAGTAATAATTATAAAGATACCCGCCATGGCAAACTTCTGACATATCTTCTGACATTTAATCTGACGTTCTATCGGTCATTTTATGTGGTACTTGATTTGGTATATTGTTGCATATATTTTGGCATGACATCTGCCTTACATTCTGACATTCAGTTTGTTTTTTTTTAAGCTTGCATATCATTTGACATTTTTACAGGCCTTGTGTTCGGCATTCTATCTGACATTTTATTTGAGCAGTGTTCAAACCCCCTGTTCATTTATGATTATAGGGGATTATACTACCCAATATATTGATGATTATAGTAATCCAGTGGAAAATTCCTATATTTGGCACCTTATTTGGCATATTGTTCGGGTTTGGCGGCCAGAGAGCTGGCAAGCTGATTGGTGAGAGACCTGCACCTGGAAGGTGGAGGAAAACAATCCTGAACATGCCGATGTTCACCAAGAACAATTATGAACATGTTGATTTTAACATACTTCCAACAGAAAAGAAATTGAACATGTTGATTTTAGCCAGGAAAGAATGATCAATTTTGATCAGTCAAGAATTTGGAGTTGGCCCAGGAATAGGGATTCAGCCATGAACACTAGGGGCCTAACCATGACCAATGGAGACAATCCCTTTCGCCCCAATATTCAAAAGTCATAAATACCAACAGAAACCCTTGCTAAATTAATTTTCTAGCAAGGCGCACAGAAATTCATAGCTGCCTTCTCAAAACACAGAAATTCTAACCGATTACCCCTGGGAATCATAGGAAATGAACGAACATCCACCAATTATTAGATGATATTCGTATGACTTGTGGAGTTTCAACTACTCTCCAGTGATTTTCGTTGGTTTTCTTCAATCAGTGGGATGAGTCTCCAATATTTTCCCATAAAAGGTTGGGATTTTCCGATTTGTCCGATCGTCTCCATTTACCCAGTAAAAGTTGAGCTGTGTCCCAGCTTCGCCCGTGTTAAAACCCAGGGTTTCCGAGTTTTCCCAGGAGTCGTTGAGGAAGTTAGATCTGAGCTCGACAGCTATCACGGGCGACATTCAAGTCATTGGATACCCCATGACGGTGGGGAAACTCACCGACATCCTTCTGGACAACACGGGGGTCTTCGGAGACATCGCAGTTCCTGGAATTTCATGAAACGGTGAAGAGATCTTTGAGGATTTGGTATTTTATGCTGGTTGGTGGTTTGGAACATGAATTTTATGTTTCCATATATTGGGAATAATACTCCCAACTGACGAACTCATATTTTCAGAGGGGTAGGTATACCACCAACCAGTCTGTGTATATATAATTATAGGGGAGAGGCTGGGGATTCCCCGGAAGACGTAGGAACCTTCAGTCTTCCTCTGATAGATATATGCATATTTGGTCGTTCTTGCATACAGATGGGGGAGGGTGGGGGATTGTTAACGTTCATTGCATTGCGTCATCAGAAGATGTTGTTACGTTCAAGATGTTGTTACGTTGAAGATGCTGTTACGTTGAAGATGTTGTTACGTCCAAGATGTTGTTACGTTGAAGATGATGTTACGTTGAGGATGTTGTTACGTTCAAGATGTTGTTACGTTGAAGATGTTGTTATGTTCAAGATGTTTTTTTTTTTACGTTGGTATGCGTGATCTTCGTTGGGTAGGCGTGTGCGAGGTTGGGAGGTAGAGGATACAGGTATATTGTATCGTCATGTTCTGGCATATGTATATATATATATAGACTTGAGATATAGATGTATCTATATACATAGAGTGGTTTGTGCACCTACGAATGCTTTCAAAACGGCTTTGTGGATGTGAAGAGAAAAAAAGCTCATGTGCATTTCGCCCATGGTTCTCTGGTGGATTATGAAATTTTAATTTCTATCAAAAGAAACCTGAATTTCCAAAAAAAAACACGCAATTCCTATGGGAAAAGCAAAAATGATGCACTTGAAAAAAAAACATTGAAACAGCGTACAACATATCGCATGTGGAACTAATTCTGATATTCTCACGTTATAGGAAGAAGATAAAACACTGTAAAACACAGTGAAAAATGACATTTTTCAAACTGGAACACAATGAACTTCAATTGCCTTCCGGGGAACCCCGAGCCTCTGCCCCTATTCGGGATTTCATGAAACGGTGAAGAGATCTCTGAGGATTTGGTATTTTATGTGTATATAGAATTATATATATATACATATTATCTAATTATGTATACACAATATGCATATATATATATATACACAGAAAATTTGTTTTAATAGTAATTACCCCCCTATTTTTTTTTGGGGGGGGGTCAACCTTCCTATAATAATTTTTGGGAATCTATAAGCTGGGATCATGATATGTATCTGATAGATTCCCCATGGTTTTGTTGGGTTTGGCGAAGAGTTGGCAAGGCGGAAGTGGACATGGAAGTGGGGGCAGAGGTGGTGGAGGCGAAGGAGGAGGACGAGGAGGAGGAGGAGGAGAAGAAGGAGAAGAAGGAGAAGGAGAAGGAGGACAACAAAATTGGAGTTGCGGAAGAAAGTTTCCACTATTGCCATGCTTGGTGCAGGTTTGTTATTGCTATTCTGGGGCTTGCAAAGGGGGTACCCTTTGTGGACCTGTTTTCTTGTTTTTTTTTAATAAGGGTTTATTAAGGAAATCAGCTGTTTGGTAATTGGATCAGATTTCTGGAATCTAAGCTTTTGCTAATCAAAAGTGAAGGCTGCTTTGAAAAGGATTTGCTTTACTTGACTCTTTTGGCAATACTAAAAGTAAATGGAGCTAATTGACTTTTAGTATTGGAGAAACAATTGGAGTTGGGAAAAAAGTTTCCACTATTGCCATGTTGGGTCCACTATTGGCCATGCCCTCTGGACAAGGTCTGAACATGACTCTTTTGGCAATACTAAAAGTAAATAGAGCTAATTGACTTTTAGTATTGGAGAAAAATTGGAGTTGCGGAAAAATGTTTCTACTATTGACAAGATATCACTATTGGTCAGACAACATTACATGATATGCACATATATATATATACGCAGATAATTTGTTTTATGTACATACATATATATATATATATATTATATACACGTGGTGGTCTGTTTGAAAAGTAGGGCTCCCCTCTTCCATCCAGTTCAACTTTTCCCAATAGAAATGGGGCTATTTGTTGGAGATACACCATCTTCAGAAACCTTTTGGACTATGGAAGATTGGGACTACTGACTTCGATCCCCATGGCTGCGGGAAAATTCAAGATATTTGAGAACTAGACTTAACTAGACTATCTATAGCAACCCCAAGAAAGATAGAACAGTGTTTGCCACACATGTTTCAGGTTTCTAACTATCTTTTTGTGGCTTGCTATAGTTGAAGATTCCTAGATGGTTCCTTGTTTTTTATTAGTGTTTTTCCATCAAGTTGTAAGCACCAGGCAGCTATGCTATTCAGCTGCTCTTGTTTTTTTATTACTTTTGGGTACGCACAAACTCAAAAATTGGCCAGCAGATGCCAGCAGTATCCTGCAACTCACCTTGGTAGCAACCCCCAAGAAGATCAAATCCCTTGCGAATTATCCTCAGAGATAAAATAACACGCGTTTCCAGGGTAGTTTTTTTAATAGATGATGTTTCCCGAAATATTTTCCAGGTTTCCAACATTCTATTTGTTTGGATTTTTATACACATGTTACATGATTACATTGTTGTATTGTCCAATACATTTCTGGCTTTGGTGATGAGAGAACTAGATGGGGTCATGATCTAAGCATGTCTGCACCCTTTTTATCTACCCAAGTGGTCGTTTCAAGTGTGTGCATTCCAAGGCAGAAACATGTATCAAAACTGTGTATGCAGAACCCCTAATATACAGTCGATCATAATATATATATATGAGGGTTTCCAGAAATGGGGTATCCTCAAATCATCCATTTATAGATGGATTTTCCATTATAAACCATCCATTCGGGGGTACCCCCATTTATGGAAACCCACATATATGTATATGTTCAGACTTTCCTGGAACCCTAAACAACCAGAAAGATTCATGCCTGTTTGCCTAGAAAAATGTGAAGAATCCCTAAGGCATGACAAATGGCGGTCCGCGGAAATCACCATTTAATTTCTGGTTATTGGAAAGCGGCTTATCTGGGCCGGGTTCCGGTGGGCCAAGCGAAGCCTGTAGAATAAAGGGTCTTGGTGCAAGAGCTTGTTGATATAAAGGCTTCTTGGTGTAAACATGTGTGAACGCTATATTTTGGGACATAGTTTGGGACACTGAGGCCAACTTCCATTTGATTTTGGTTTGGGCACCCCCCAAAGCCATTTCAAATAGAAGATATTCTGTGAATATTCAACCAAAGATGGCCAAAAATGATGACGCACAAACTTGGTGATTCTTTCGGATTGACTTCTATCTGTGTTTATTTTTGCTGAAGACTGTAGACTCACCTGAAGTGGCCAGATCAGCCCTTGTGAAATTTGTGGATCCCATTTTTTTTTCTGAGGTGTTTTGCACGTTGTCCTCAAATCACCCCAAAACCTCAAAATACAACAAGCACCTCCAAAGATTTTAAAGCACCTCGTACTTGGATCGTCCACTCTGACTGTCTAAGCGGCAGATTTTACAGGCAAATCTACTGTTCAAGAGCTGCTCTGTGTGCACCATCTTCTGTTTCAAATGGCGGCGACCCCCAAATTTGCATCTTCTAGTTGAACGAATTTGTCGAATATTTTCTATCTTAGCTGGTGTAGAAACAAAATCGTGGTAAAGCGAGTTGGTGTGAAAACCGTGTTGTGCAAGAGCTAGTTTGTGTAAAAACGAAATTATGGTAAAAGCGAAATTGTGTTAAAATGTTACGCAAGCTCTTGCACAACACAGTTTTCTTTAAAGGGATGCTGTGTCATAATTCTTTAAAGGTTCGTTACAAGTATCTGAACCCAAAACGAATCATGTCAACCTCATTCGCCGATGTTGCCATCAATGATGATTAGTGAGGGAGACTCCCAAAACCGGCAAACATTTCATGTGGCAGTGTTATGCGTTGGCCAAAATCAGGTTGCATTGACCCAACTTGACCCAAGTTGCTGCGCTTATGAAGCCCAAACATGCCCAAACCCAAACCCATCACAAATCGCACTGTCTCAGGTCTTCAATAACCTCTGGAAGTTGGAGAGGGTCTCGCTGAGTCATACGCAAGTTTCCGGAGATGTGGAGAATTTCGCAGTTGACCGCACTCGGACGTGGACAACCAGCAATGTCCTCTTGGCTTGGTCTTCAGAGCTACCACCATGAACATTTTGAAAACCCAGCAATTCTAAATAGGGGGAGTTTACAGTCTGTTTTTGGACACCTGGACCATGTTTTCTTAGGGTAAAAATGCAGGAACCCTCTAGATTTGGGGGTAGAATCCATGATTTCTTGTCATTTTTTTTTGAAACCAATCTATTGAATCCAAGGTGAAAGAACTCTCTTTGAGTTTCTCACACGTGCACGGTTGCATCGACCACTTGGGCAGTAACCACAAATTGGTGAAACTGGACCTGGCTTCCACTGCAGTGACGGGTGAGTTCCGACAATTGATGAGATGTCGTGAATTGCAAATGGTGGCTTGGGCTGCAAGATCAGAGAGACACAGATTTTTCTCAAAATGGGGATGCGTCAACGTCAAGATATGTCAAGAAAAACATACTTTCTTCGAGCGATCCCCACCCTGACACACTATATATTCTGACATAGTTTCTGACATACCATCTGGAAGTATATATGGCACACACACACACATATATATATATATACATACATTCTGACATTCTATATGGCATTCTTTCTGGTATATATTCTGACATTCTAAGTCTATCTGATATTCTTTCTGGCATATGTATCTGGCATATCTTCTGACATTCTTTCTGGCACTCTATCTGGTATATCTTCGGAGATTCTTAGTGGTCGAGGTCCGGCGGAGAACGCTCTGATCCGGAGCTCGCCGTTGAGGTCCAGCGGGGAGCACTTTGATCCGGAGCTTGCGGTGGAGGTCCAGCCGGGAACGTCCGGGGAACACTCTGATCCGGAGTTTGCGGTGGAGGTCCGGCCACTTTGATCCAGAGGTTGCTGTTGGGGTCCGACGGGGAACACTGCGATCAAGAGCTTGCAGTTGAGGACCGGCGGGGATCACTTTGATCCAGAGGTTGCTGTTCGGGTCCGGCGGGGAACACTGCGATGTAGCTAGAGCTTACAGTTGAATTCCGGCGGGGATCACTTTGATGCAGGGGTTGCTGTTTGGGTCCGGCGGGGAACACTGCGATCTAGAGCTTGCAGTTGAGGTCCGGCGGAGGAAGGAGGAGGATGAGCTGACATAAACTCTCACAACCCTCACCTGACAGGTGGGGAATGAACCGGATCCAGGATTCTGACACAGACGTCAAACATGGATGTCCAACATGGCTACTACTGTACCTGGGGTTCCTTCCAAAAGCAAACATGACCATGACATGAAATACACGGCTATCTTCATGTTTCCCAGCCATGTTTGGCGGAGCACCCAGGGTGCTCCATATGAGTCCGAGGTGGATTTGTCCAATACCTCCGTGAATGGATCCTTCAACTTTATCAAAGCATGGGCAGGAGTGAAACTACACAAGTTGGAGCCTGGGTTACAATTTGGAGATTTCGCAAGCCAACTTTCGGGGTTTTCACCAGCCAAGAATAAAACTGGAGGGTCGAAACCGCCACAAAATCGGCATTTTGCATTTCACCTGTATCGAACACATATTCTGATTTGGGGGTTGGAATTCCAAATGTGTTAATATGTTGGGTTTTTCGTCCTCAAGGGATGATGACCCGCAATGAAACAATGCAACCTTTTGTGGCTGGCATGGGTTGAAACGACCAAACAGTGACCCATCATTGTCACTGAACACACATTTTTTGTCCCTAAAGGGTCCCCGAGAGGGATTGAATCCGCATCAATTCCATCAACTCTTCGAACTCTTTGAGCACCTTGGCCGCCTTGGGCCAGGAAACCTTGAAGCTTTCCAACACCAAGATAACACTGGGGAGAAACCGCACAGAATTCAACCCCGTCTCTATCATCACCGCTGTCCGAGAAGTTGCCTTGGAGGCGAGGGTCGACGAGTTGCGGTCATGATTTCTTCATATACTTTGACGCTGCCAGAATGCGTGGGGAGGATGGGGAAGCGAGAGAAGTGAAAAAAACAATGTCAGACACATTCCAATCTTTTGCTCCTTCACGCCTACGATCCAACGATCTCAGGTGCAAACAGGTGCAATTTTTTTGTTTTGGCACCGCAGTCGTAAAACTGACTGCGGTGGCTGAAATCTGGTGCTGAACGATCATGGAAGATCTGGCCTTGGTGGTTTCAGTCCATATGTTCAGTTCAATGATTCCTTGCCATGATTAATGTGGGTAAAACAATGCCATAAACATCCCGGCGGTGGTTTATCGAACCCGCGGTTCCAACGTTAGCACTGTTCATCATTCATTTCATCCCAAAAAATCACAGTGGTTTTGCATCTCTGTCATAGTTGAATTTCCTTAAAAAGTGCGCGCGCGTACTTTTCACTGGACATGTCAAAAACCTCAGCGGCCTTCTCTTTTTTTCTGCGCTAAGTGTTCTTCACAACCTCTGCAGTGAGCTTGGAGAGGTTTTTGTGGGAACTGTTTTCCCATCTCCACTGCCAAGCGCGAACATGCGTCCAAATCTTGCCATTGAGCAAGGTTGGATTCCTAGCATTCTTCGTATGAAGATTCTTAGGCAAGGATCCTTTGATCAGCCGCCAAACATTGTCAATTGTGCCCGTATGGACATCAATGGTCTTCCCCTGCCATCTCTTTTTCACATTGAACTGACTCTGCCGATGGGAGCAACAGAAGTGTTTGATTTTTTTGGTGCGACATAAGCCTGGGAAGCATCTGGCACCGTCCGAACACAAGACGGTTCCTTCACGAGTCACAGCATTGAGTCCACCCACACTTTCAATGGCTCTTGCACTCTCCACGGGTGGCTTGCCATAGTTCTGAGCATCTGCGAAGCCTTGCGAGCATTGAGAAGAAAGGCGAAGTCCATCTAAAGGTATCAACCATAGAAATAATTTAGCGATTTCATACTCAAAGTTTCGCAAATATCACATGTTCAGACTGATTACGTGTTCGGTTTTCCAACATGGTTATAACTGCTGTGATGCGTGCTCAGTCCCACCTAGCCTAAATCGTAGAGCTGCACCTCTCTAGAATCCCGGCTGGCCACTCCGAATGCTTGAAAATACCTGAGAGTCGTCGTCTTTGGCAGTTTCATTTTTCGCAGAGAAGTGGCATCTGCCTCTACGATGCCTCGTAACTTTCTCTTGTGTTGTCGTTTCTTTGCCGCCTCGGCTTCGAAGGTCAGAAGTGCGGAGCGAATCTTTTGCAGACTCGGCTTGCTCTGACCGTTGTGGCCCAAGTTGCTTGCCATAGCTTCCAAGGTTGGAGCGGTGGATCCCTGGAAGTACAAAGTGACAGCCTCATCTATGTGGGGCAAAGGCATGTGGACACGGGGAAGCAAACTGTGATCCATGACATCGCTGAATCTGCGGCAGTCTGAGCATCTCCAGAACAAGCGACCCCATCCACGATGTTGCGATTCTTTGTAGGAAGCCCGAATCCACGATCCTCCGCAGGCACATGTCTCGGGTTTCCACAACCAGGCTTGTTCTTTGAGATGGTTGTGGGCTTTGACGATGTCTCTTTCAGTGCATTTTTTTGCTTGGCATGATCTTTCATGGCACAAGGCTTGCGCAAGTGATCCTTTTCTCTGTGCTTCTGTTTTGAACCTCGCTTCCGAGTCTGTTTCTTGTTTTTCTGGGCATGAGAAGCAGCTTTCCAAGTCTGGTAGGAAGAGAACCACGATGTCCACTGGCTTTTTTCAGAGAACGGTGTGGCCTAGACTTCACTCCCACGCAACGCAGAAGTTTCTGCTGCCGCAAGTGCTCTGACAAATCTTCTGCCCGACACTGCTTGGTCAACGCCTTCAAGACGTCTTGGGCAAGCTGCGGACACGAAGTCGCGCGGTGTCCACTTTTGCCACACACATGGCACTCATGCTTAGCCTTTCCGTTTCCTTTGGCTTTTCCATGACCCATGTCCGAAACGAGAGACAGGACCAAGATTCCGTGCAGGAACCTTTCTTCATTGAACCGGAAAACTTCGGCGCATACAACATGCAAGGACCTTGGGTTTTGCAAACGGCTTGGCGCATCTGGTCACAACTAGATTTATACTTCTATTCTTATGCCAGACTATATATACATATATAACGACGCATGTGTGTATATATATATATCTCTCTCTCTCTATCTACCTACCTACCTATCTATCTATCTATCTGTCTGTCTATCTATCTATCTATCTATCTATCGATCTATCTATCTATCTATCTACCTATCTACCTATCTACCTATCTACCTATCTACCTATCTATCTATCTATCTATCGATCTATCGATCTATCTATCTATCTATCTATCTATCTATCTATCTATCTATCTATCTATCTATCTATCTATCTATCTATCTATCTATCATTATCTATCTATGTTCTCACAGCTATGGATCAGAATCAACATGTTCCACAGGATTCATGTCAATGGTTCAAGAGCAGGTGGAAAAGCGTTTCATGCACTCTTTTTGTCTCCATGTGCATCTCTTAAGATCCCTGGCGTGCATTGCGTTCAAAGCTCATCTCAAGGTTTTGATACAAATCTCTCATAGGCTTTGGAATTTCTGGAAAACCACTCATATCGAAATCTTGTGTCAACCAACATCGAGTCTCTCTCTCTTGAAGAAACTTCGGCACACGAGTTTCAATGCTCCCTTTCTGCGACCACTTTTGAAGATCCATGGAGTGACAGCGTAATTTCCACATTGACATTCTCCCCATTTGAACTTTCTCTTTTTTTTCTCCGTCACTTCCGATTGATCTGCCACGCGATTTTCGACGGGAGCAGCTCGATCCAACATTGAGGTGGAGGATGCAGGAGCAGCAGGCGAAGTATGCGACGCCTTGCGTGGAGAGACCGTCAAGGATTGCACCCATGCATCTTCTTCTTTCCAAAACTCTGTCAGATCAAACGGTGGAGGCACGGCTTGTGAACGTGGCGCAAGATCCTCTGTCAAGGAATGCACCCATGCATCTTCCTCTTCCCAAAATTCCCTGAGGTCAAAAGGTGGCAAAACCGAAGTCGAAGACGAAGTGCCACCGACTCCTGCAGAATCCGTTGGCAGCGGCCACACATTGCCAGAACCAAAGGCACAGGCAGGCTCCGAGTTCCTGCGTGCGTTTGAAAAAGCATCCCACAGAAAAAAAGAATAGACCATGCACTCTCCGAAACAACGTCAACATAACAATTCCCGCTTTTTTTAATGTAAAAACCCGGCCTCACCAACTCTTCCATGAAGTCATCTTGTTCTCGCCAAAGATCGCGCACCTTGACAATGCGATGTGGCAGGGAGTCGTCGGGGCCAGGACAACTTATGACATCCTCCTCATTCTCAATGGACTCAGAAGAAACTTCAAAGCAAGGAGATCGCCAGGCGTGCATGTCCGGAGTATCTAAGACCTTAGAAGTTTCGAAGCCGCAAGGTCCAAACCATCCGGGGCGAGGAAGAAGATACCGACCGAAAAGGAATAACACACGCAATGACATGAACCAGCTAAAACTAAGTTGAAGCAAAGAACAGGAATGGCACCAGTTGACGCACGTGTCACACATGGTTGAGTAGAAGAAATCTGAGACCGCCTTACCAGAAAGCTAGGATCAAATTCTCCGAAGCCAGGACATGCCGATTCCGTTTCAAGGACGCAAAATTCATCTCTAGCGGCCACCCGAGGTGAGACAGCATGAAGCATCTCCAAGCTCCTGTACACAGCATCTATCGAGACCGGAGCACGATTGTGAGCCATGCGGCGCTCCAAAGCTATCATTCGTTGTAGGACAACATCTGGCAATGGGTCATGTCGTCTCTGAAATCGATCCCAACAGTCACGTAGAACAACAATGGATGAGCTCAAAGTTCGAAATTTGCCTGCGTCACAATCCAAAAGACATCTCGCCACCAAGACAGCCGCATCATCGTTGTCAGTCACTGCTGCCGAGAACACCTGACGCAAGTTGTGTTGAAAAAAGCTGGCAAACTAGGCACCAGAACAAGAAATAAACAACAGCCAAGATGTACTTGGACTAAATCCCACCTCATGTGTCTCATCAAGTTCATCATCATCCTCGCTTGTCCACTCACGAAGCAGAGGAGGCTCTTTCACATTCGCAGTGCGAAGCAAACGCAGCAATGTAAGGCCGTAGAGGCAAATATGCAATTGGTTACGAAGTTCTGGCATTTCAAAGCCAAAAAGCTCATGAATACACAGGCACATTTGTTGTCACAGAAACCTGCGCATTCCGGATGAACGCTAACATAACATTTCTATATTTTCACATCTATCTTTGCATGTATTTGTAAATCGATGCATGAATTTATTTAATATACTTTTATAGAAACACACACACACACATATATATATATATATGTAAAATTCAAATGCCAGCACCATCCAACAACTGCAGACAAGACCCAAGAACCCGCCCAGCACGCTGAGCATCTGACCTGACAGCGAAGGCTCATATCATACAATATTAGGCAAACAAAGAAAAGTAAGCAATGCCATACTACCGGGGCAACCTGTAATGATAGTGTAATGATGAAACAAAAACCACAAAATGGGAAATAGAACATTACCCATCCCCTACTATGTGAGGAAGTGCAAGCAGACGTACAGTAGCGTAGCATCATGTATGTGAGGAAGTTCAGGAAGAGGTAAAGTAGCGTAGCATCATATATGTGCGGAAGTGCAAGAAGACGTACAGTAGGGTAGCATCATGTATGTGAGGAAATTCAGGAAGACGTAAAGTAGCGTAGCATCATATATGTGCGGAAGTGCAAGAAGACGTACAGTAGCGTAGCATCATGTATGTGAGGCAGTGCAAGAAGACGTACAGTAGCGTAGCATCATGTATGTGAGGCAGTGCAAGAAGACGTAAAGTAGCGTAGCACCATGTATGTGCGGAAGTGCAACAAGACGTACAGTAGCGTAGCATC